GTACAACCTTCAAATGGATTTCCAGCCCAGGCGTGGACTCTACACTGCTCGCAGCTCTGCCAGAATGACAGCCTCATATGTCTGAAAGCTGACACTTCAGCTTTTAAAAGAAATGGGGGAAAATAAGCTGTTGACTTCTTGGTTAAAGTATTTTCTTGTTCTAACTCATGTTCTTATGTCACTGGGCTAAAAAAAAGAGAGAGAGAGAGAAGAGAGAAGAGAGAGATATGACTTTCCTTGAATGATCTGTTTAACCTAAGCCAGAGGAAAAAAAAGAAAGTCATTAATTACTTATGTGAGCTATTGCTTCAGAAAGACAATAAACCTGCCCGGTCGCCATGGATATGACATATTTGCTCTGAAAACAACACAATAATTAGCAAAGGGGAAAGATACAAGGAGAATATGCAAACTCCTGAGTTTAAAGCCACAGTGCTCTTTTCTCCCGTAAGCCTGTTCTGTTTGCAATCCAAATCAAACAAATTTTTAAAATATAGCAAAGGGGGAAAAAGCAGGAACGGCTCCTCTCTCCTCTGAGCCGAGAAGCAACAACCACGCCACCCCCTTCTAAAATAAAATAATGTAAAAGAGAACCAGGATGGCATGGGGGGGGGGTCAAGTATTGACTCTTTTATTTCCTATAGCAGGGGTGGAGTCTGAGGTTTGTTTTTGCTTCTTTCTTTTTTTTTTTAAAGTGTGCTCTTATTCAGCTTTGGACCTTCTGGCCAGATATAAATTTATTTATGAAAGCCAAATGCCCTGTGTGTGCCTCACCCCTCCCCAAACTAAATGGAAATGTGAAGGGGTGGAGGTGGGGGGACTGTTCTTGAAAAAGCAAAACAGTATACCCAGAAAGCATCAGCTCTAGAGAGGGACATCCACTCCCCCCACCTCCAAGAAAATGGAACCCGGGCCTTACTTTAAAATTAAAAATGCATTAAATGGTTTTACCTACAACTTAGTCCCAGAGGATCATTAGGAAATGCAATCGCTTTGTATCATATCTGTCAGCGTGATAAATACTGAGTACAGAGTAGGTTTGCAATTTTTCAAAGTGTCACAGACCAAGATAATTTTTTTTTTCTGCCTTACTTTCTTAGTTCACTGCACCCACCCCCTCAAAGTCAGGAGTCTACCAAAAATACCTGAGAAGAACACAGGAAAAGAAAAGAAGAAAAAAAGTTAGGCTTTTATACACGGGACAGAGGTTACTGATCTTCCCCCCACCCAAAAAGTGGGGAATCAGGACTGTCAAATATTTGGATATTTTAAAAAAATTTTAAAGTACTCCACTAAGTTTGAGTAGAAACTTTCCCCCTCTTCTCAGAGGCTAATTTTCCAAAAACAGATGGTCAGGATCTAAAAGAGAAGCAAATATACCTCAACCCCCACAGGCAGAGAAATCTAACTTTGAACTTCCTTTTAAATTAAAAAAAAGGGGGGGGGGGAGCAGATAAACTATTAATAAGTATGAAAAATTAGCTGAGCTACAAGTTTTGTTTTTCTTATTAAAAAAAATTCTTTCAACACAAGGGGAGCAGATACAAAGGAGAGGTTCACATTCGACTGACTACCTATTTTTTTTTAACAATAGTTGTTTTTTTTTTTGTTTTAGATTGGACTCTTTGATCTTGAAAGAATTTTGCTCTTATACGATGGGGAAGATGGGGGTGAAATGATCTGTTTTAAATGATGATGCAACTTCGGGATCAAAGCCTTCGCTCTCTTCTAGCCATAATAAGCTGTACTTGCCACAAAGCGCGAGTCTCCGGCTCCACTCCTTCGTAAGAAGGAAATAAAATGCACGGAGACTCAGGGAAAGACGCGAAGTCTCTGCAAGGTGCAAAGTCTAAAAAAACAAAAATCAAAAAGACAGAGAGAGAGAGAGAGGCACTGCCCCTTTAAACGTTTTAGTGCATATGGAGTTTGATTTCTGAAAGAGATCAGTTTAACATCTCCATAGAAACCAGCAACAGATTATCATCAACAGAATAAATAACTAGTCTAATAAATTAAACAGGAGGCATAAGATCGCTGGAAACCTGATTACTGAAGTTCAACAATATTCCCCATAAACTCTCGTTAACCGCCTCTAAGGTGGCTAACAAGATGGGGGTGGGGGGGCCATCTCTCCAGCTCGCGGGATCCCGGGAGAGGCGGTGGCCGCCGCCCGGGGAGGGAAAAGTTCCCCATCCTGCCCTGCAGAGGGTCTGAGAGCTCGAGTGAGGGGCAAACCGTACAGCCGAAGTTTGGCAAGTGGGAAAGCGGCTGGCGTCGGGGGAGGTAGCGCGAGTCGCGGGAGATGGCGCGGGACGCGACGCCCGCCCGGGACGCACCTCCTGGCCGCCACCAAGGCGCAAACCCGGAGCTTTGCGCTCGGGCGCCGAATGGCCCAGCGCCCCCTCTGGGCACGTGGAGCGCAGCCCCGGCGCAGCCCCCGGGGACCAACTACCCCCCTCACCACGCCCGGCGCAGCTGCTCCTGCTCAGCCCGGACAGCTCCCTTTAGGACGGCGACGTGTGTGGGGTGTGTGTGCGTGTGTGTGTCTGTGCGCGCGCGCGCACGCGCGCGTGTGTTTTGTGTGTGTGTGTGTGTGTGTGTGTCTGTGCGCGCGCGCGCGCGCCGTGGGGTGGGCGGGGGGGGGCCGCCAGTTTACCCGGCGATCTGTTTCCCAGTCCCCTCGCGCACTCTTACCGAGCGCCTGTACTAGCTCCGAGATGTCCTAAATTTACCAACTTTGCTTCACGACTACGCTTGGCCTTTTCCCCCCTCGCCGCCCCCATCTCTTTGAGTGTACCGGGTGTTGGAGGGACAACCACAGGCTCTGGGGGTCGTGCCCCCAGACTCCGCTGAGACAGCGACGCATAATTACCCCCCCGTCGCCCCTTGATCCAGCTGGGTTTGGGGGAGCTCCGGGCTTGTTGGAGGGGTGTTTTCGCTGCTTCCCTGGTGGACAAATGATACGCACCCGCACACGCACCCGCACCCTCCCCAGCGTGACTGGAAGGAGGTCCTCGCCGCACCCAGGGCCCGCTTCCCAAGCTGAGGCTGGGTCCCGAAGAACTTGTGTAGAGGGAGAAGCGGCCCCCTGCCTCCCTCGGCACTCTTCTCCTCCCCCAACTTCGGACCTGGGTCGGGGACGACTTGGAAGAAGAATCTGCGCCCACCCCCTAGAGAAAAATCTATTATTATTATCTTAATCTACGCCCCCGAAGTGTCCCTCCCGCCGTGATTGACGGCGCATACACCTGTTCCCTCGCCGAGAAGCTCCCAGCGCTGGGGACAGACGTTCGCCCAAATGCTCCGCAGCGACCCAGCGCCCGCTCGCCGCCCTCGCCGGCCAGCCCCCGCCCTATGCCCCAGCGCGCCCCTGCCCGCACCTTGCCACCCCGGCAGCCGACCCCTCCCCTCCCAGGCCCGGCTCCGCAGTCCGCCCGCTCCCGGCCGCGCTGGCTTCGGGAACAGAGAAAGAACAGAAAGCAAAACTTCCTGGCGGCCGACGGCCATCAGCTGCACATTCTGCAAATGCCACCGAGTAAAAATAAACCGGCCGCCGCTCCGCCCGGCCGGCTCACCCCGGGCGCACGACTCGGCGCCCTGCCCCGGGAGCTCCCTATCGGTCCGACCCGGTCCCCCATTCCGGCGCGCCCCCTGGAGCCCCGCTTCGCGACGCTCCTCCGCCAGCCACCACGCGCTCCTCTGCCCTGAAGGTCGACTCCAAGTGACCGGGTGGTCCGTCCAGCCCTCTTCCCTTCGGTGCCCCCTTTCTCCCCCACGAGAGGCTCTTCTCTCTGTCCTCCCCCTCGTGCCTATTTCAGCCGCGCGTCCCTGGATTCACGGATTCCTCTCCGCAACTGCTAAGCCCCGGGGTCACCCTCAGCCCACCCTGGGGCACAGACCCCGCCAGACCCTCTCCCACCTCGGCTGAGCCCCCTGGGAGCGCACCGCTCTACCCGCCTGCCGGCCCGCCAGCCCAAAGTCCCACATCCCCGGGCGCAACTTCTCTCCCAGCGCACACAACAACCGCGGCAACTCCCCCGAACTTTTCCCCGGACCCAGGCGGGCTCTGGCGGACAGCCGCATGGCCGTGAGCCGGTGCCCCGGCTCCCTGTGCCCAGCACTGCCAGCCCCGAGCCCCGGGAAGGCTGGGGTGGGGGTGGGGGGAGTGAGGAGCGCCACTTGCCGCGCCCGGAGCAGCGCACTTGAGACAAACTTCCCAGGCACGAATGAAAAAGGGGGCGCCGCTCCCCCCAGCCAAGCAACCCTTCGCCTTCGTTTTCCCACCCGGAGGCACCCCTTGGCACCCCGCGCCTAAGTGAACACTGCCTACCTCTGCCGGTGGCACCTACACCTTGGTATGGGGGCACAAGAGTCGGCTGGAGGGGTTCCCCACCCACCCCTTCCCCTGGGCAAAGTCTTGCAAAGTCACCCCAGGCACCCCTCACGCCTGCCTCCTCTGCCCTGACGGGCGCTCGAACCCCTGCAGCCGGGGGTGGGGGTGGGGGGGGCGTAGGGGGAAGGAGTGATTACCCGGTATTGGCGAGCACCTGCCCCCCCCCAGCCTGCAGCGCGGGGGGCGCCCCCACCCTATTCGCAAAGTCCTGCACTCGCGCCTGGCACCTCCCCCTCTTCTCCCCTACCCCGCCGCCCCCTCAGCTGGAGTAAGTGACCCCCAGGAGCAGCAGCCCTCCCCTCTCCCCGAGCCGCGCGCTGGGCATTCCCCTGGCCGCGGCGGGCGACGCGCCGCCCCGCGCCCGGATGCCAGCCCTCCGTGCCCCCTGCCTCCCGCACTGCCGGAGTTGGGTGGCAGCCGCCGCGCGCAGGCAGGCTGGCTGGCTGGCTCTCTCGCTCGCTCGCTCGCCCGCTCCCTGCTGCAAGCGGCAGCCCCGGGACTGGGGGGGCTGCACCGGGACAGGGGGCGAGGCGGGGAAGCACCTCGGGAGGCCCCGGGAGCTGAGGGGCGTGGGGGGCCGCGGCGGAGAGAGCGCCGAGTCTCTTACCTGCACTTGGGGCGGCTTTGGGTGACTTTCCAAGTCCGGGGGAAAAATGTGTGTGTGTTTGGGATGGAGCGCCGCGGGCGCGCATGCGCTGCCCAAAGTTGCCGGATCCCGGATTTTTCGCTCCCAGTCTCCGCTCTCGCCCGCTGTGATTATGGAATTCTCCGCGGCCGAGCGGGCGAGTGGGTGGCATGCAAAACCCGGGCCGGATCGCTGGGCCGGGCTCCGCTCCACCCTCACACCCCCAGACCTTCCCCTCCGGGTTTCTTCCCACCCACCGCCCGGGCTGAGCGCTGCTAGTGTGCGCAGCGGGACGCGGCCTGCGGAGGAGGATCTGAGCGCAGGGCTCCCTTTTGCGGCAGGAGAAGCTCTCCATACCCACCCACCCCGCCAAGTTGAGAGGAGCTGAGGCTGGGGGACAAGAGAGAAGGGGCAGGAGTGGGTTACTTTTCACCTGTTCTGATCCCAGAGAGCCAGTCGGCTTCGCGCTTTCCCACTGAAGACCTAGCTCTTTTCTGCAAGTTAGAATGTTAGAATTGTCGAACCCAAAGGAACGTGATGTTCTCACTGTTTGGTATCTGCTTTGCACTTACTCTTTGCAAGGGAGTTTTTCATTCAGTCCATTGTGCAAGAAATAAATCCTTAAGTGAGCAAGATAGGCCGAGAAGAATGAACCTGGTTGGGGGTGGAGGGGGTGTGAAGGCGAGAGGGTAATGAACATTAAAACAAATGAATAATATTATTTCAGAAAGTGAAAGGATCCGTGAAGAAAATAAAGCCAGGCAATTGGATAACGTGTTTTTAGGAAAGCTAATTTACCCCTCCCAGGTGAAGGAGGACGGCCTCTGTGGGGAGGGGGGACCTTCCAACCCCATTGCAGAACCCTTTTCTCCCTTTGTCCCCACACCCACCTCCCAGCTGGTCTGAGGTGGCCACACCAGGCTGAGCCTGGAGATCGGCTGCAGTCTTGGCGCTGTGGCTCTGGTCCTTCCTCCGCCAGGCCACCCCTGTCCCAGGACTGAGCTAGTCGCTGTACCTGGTTTTCTTTCTGAACAAGGACATGATGGAAATAACATAAGACGTGAAAGAAATGGGTAAACACTCCGGTGGTGAGAGAAGTGAAAAATTGACCACCATAGTAAACGAAATAACTAAACAATTTGTTGAATAAATGAATACAAATTCAAAGTGTGACCCACAGTTTGGAGAGTGCATTAAACTAAGAGGAAATGCCACAGGCTAGTAAATGGTGTTGCTGGCTGGTAGACTTTGGGACCTAATCTGCAAGGTTTCGGCAAAGCTTCTCAGGACCGGAAGTTTCCAGAAGCCCTGGATGGTAATTGCCCAAGACAGAGACATCCGCTGGGATGCATTCCATGCCCTGCCTTAAACTGGAAGTTTATTGGTAAATGCATAGAGACTGGGGACTCCATGGCCCTCTGGCCTTGAAGTGGCCAGGATTTGCCCTGTTCTCTAATAAAACCTCCAGATTTGGGAGAGGAGGCCCAATCATGCCCTTATCCCATAGTTGCCAAGTGATCTCTACTTGTTTTGGACCGGCTGGGAAAAAAAAACACACCAAAAGAACCCTCAAAAGTACAGCTTGTCTCCTTCCCACCTGGAACGGGTCTGAGAATCCCATGTTTGGGATTTGTCCACACAGGAAGGCCAGATTTGAGGGTGAGACACACCTCTCAGGTTCAGAGAATTTCTCCCCTCTTTAACCCTGTAATTAACAGGATGCAGCAACACATCAATAATTAACACTTCCCATGGACCACTGACCCATTACTCTCTACCACCACCCCATGCCATCAGATCAGTCCCCTGTTTCAGGAGTTGCTGTCTGGCCTACCACACATAAGACCCTTGTGTCTGGTGACTCAGCAGTACACACAGCCCCAAAGATCTCAAGCCCGATCCCTCCATTCTGCAGAAGGAAAAACTGAGGCACAGTGAGGGTAATGACCTGAGTAGTGGTGAGGGAGGTTTTCTAGCTTTGGATCTGAGGCTAATTCCACTCCTGGGGCTATATGGAGAAGTGGCTCACAGCTTGTACTTCCGGGTCAGACCCTAGCTACTCACCAGCGGGGTGACCTTGAGTAAGGCATATGACCCCTCTGCGCCTCAGTTGCCTCAACCGTAAAATGGGGACAATAATAGTACTGCCGCCTGGGCTTGTTGGGAGACTAAAATGAGTTAATGCAGGAAAAGTGCTTGAGCCAAGCGAGTGATCGATAAATGCCAGTAATTGTCATTGCACCTTGGGACATCCGGTGCTCCCTCTACTTCTCATTTCTTCCTGTCCTCTCTCCTTTCCTTCTTCTCCTCTGTCCTTTCCTTCCTCCAGAACGGCTGGAGGTGTCTTTTGCCGCCTGCCCTGCCGGTGAAGAGCAGGTCCTTCCCAGGGAAGACACAAAGGTCTGATCGCTAGTTTTCGCCTTCCTGCTTTCTCACTAGAAGCCTCACCCCCCTCCCAACAGCCATGTCTCAAGCACCAAAGTTTTATTAAGACATTTATTCTTCCATCCATTTTTTTCTCAGCTACTTCACAATTCTCCCGTCCTCTGGGGAGGACCTCCTCTGAAGGAACCTCATCTGGGAGGGGGAAGCTGGAAACAGTGACAAGAGTGGGAGGGGGGAGGAGGACTTTGGGGTGAGGTGAACAGGGACTCTAACTCTTCCTTTCCAGACCACCCCCCAACTCAAAAAAATTTTTGTTTTAAACAAAGCAAGGGACTAAGAGAGAACACCATACCTAAAATGTGGCCCTGGTCTCTCAAGCCTCTTGCTGTCTTGTTCCACCCCCATCTCCCCAACTGGCCTTGCAGAGACCGAAATCACATGCTATTTTCCTCATCTGCTTCATCTTAGCATGTCCTGAGCTTTCCATAAAATAAAATACAAACTCTTCCCCATGGTCAACAAGATCTAACACTGCCTGTCCCTGGCCTCCCCTCAGTCTCATTGTCCTGACGCACTAGCTTCTTGCTGTCCTGGAAAACTAAGCTTATCCCTACCCCAGGGCCTTTGCACTTGTTTCCTCTGCCTGGAAGGCCCGTTCTGTGCCTGCTTCCTTGACATCACTTAGGTCTCTGCTCACATGTCACCTCCTCAGGGATGCTTTCTCCCTGAAGTAGTTCTCTAGCTTTCTCTCTCGCCTTACCCTGTTGGAGTGTTTACAATAATTTTGCTTATTCATTTTGTTCTCATATTTCCTGTCCAGTTGCCCCTGCTAGAATGGGAGCTCCTGGGAGGCAGGGACTTTGTTCTGTGTCCCTTCATGTCCTCAGCACCTCAAACTGTGCCTGGTGCATAGAAGACCTTCACTCTCTTTGAGTCAGGCACCAAATCAAGAGGAGTCTACACGGTTCCTGTCCTCGAGGAGCCCATGCTACAGGAAAAGAACAACCAAGTTCCTAGGACAAAGTTTGGGGAAAGGAGGAGGAGCTGGTACAACCCAGGAATTGCCAGAAGTTGCCAGGTTGGCACGGGGGCTTTGCCGAGTTTCCCACTCCCTGACCTGAGGCCAGGGGTCAACAGTGGGGAGAGAGTAGGTTCTGCGAAACCAGGCCCCAGCAGAATAGCCTCCATAGGCAGAAGGGGGGTAGAGTCAGCAAGGGACCCTATGGAAGTCATCTATCTAGCCCCTGTCTCCACCGAGAGCCTCTTCTGAGTCTCGAGAGGAAGACCCCCTCCTCTTGCCCTTACCAACTTCCCCACTGGACTGTGAGCTTCCTGAGCAGAGGATCTGGGCCTTTTTGGCAGAAGCCAGGGTGACAAGCACAGTTCCTGGCACCCAGGAGTCTCCTGATGATTGTTGCACAAAGACATTGGTCTGTCTCAGTCTGCGTAATTGGGAAAGACTTGAAAGAAGAAATCACAGCTCAGCCTCCTAGTCACAGTCATTTGGTTTCTGGCCCCTCTGCATTGACGGAAAGCAACACCCAGCCGGACGTTAATCGTTACTATTTGCCGAGTGGTTGTCGTGCACCAGGCACCAGGCTAAGCGCTTGGGTCATCTTATTAGACCCTCACAACAGCTGCGGAGGGGGGGGTTGTTTATATAATACACCCATTATACAGATGAGGAGGGCAAGGCACAGAGTAACTTTCCCAAGGCTGAACTGGGCTGTCTGAACCCAGAACCAATGTTTTTCACATTTGGGCTGGGAGGTGACTTAGCCCAGAGCAACAAGCATTTTTTTTACCCCTACTCGGAGCTCGTAAGGAGATGAAAGTTGAAGGTGAGTGCGTTGGGAGAGGAGGAGAGAGGAAGGAGAACAGATCTGTCCTTTAACTGTAAATTGTATCTCAGTGTTGTAAAAGACGAAAAGAGGAACCAAAGAGATTCAGGACCCAGCGCTAGATTCTGTATACAGTAAGCACTCAATAAGTGTTGACGAAGAATGATGATTTTTCATTCAAAAAATTACAGACTATGTGCTCTGTCTCCCTTTCCCCTAAGCTGCTCCTGGTCTCGAGACTCTCCTTGGCGAGGTCTCTTTTCTGGAGTCCCTGGGCCTTGCCTGGTACTAGCCTCACAGTAGGCGCTCAATAGATGTTTAGTGACTGAATAATTCAACAAATGTCCGAGATAAGTGATTATGGTGATTATTGGGCAAGTTGTAATTAAAAATGAAAAAAAAAAAAAAAAAAGCTGAGTGCATTTCTTTTATTTACAAATGCCTCTCTTGGGAGTCCTGGGAAGGGAGAATGGGAGAGGGTCTTTTTCCCAAAAGCCAAGCGTGGTTCCTGAATCCCATCCAAGTCGATGAGCTTGACAAATCCTTCCAACTCCCCTCCACCCCCCACCCTGGTTTCCTTATTCTTTTTGCAAAGTACACGATTATTTGTTTCTGACTATATATTTATAATACGTGCTTAGCGTAGGAAAGTCACAAAACACAGATAAACAGGAAGAAGAAAATTTACATCATCTGTAATCCCACCATCCATGAATAATCACTGTGGATGTTTTGGTGTACTTCCTGCCAGTCTAGGTTTTTTGCTTCATTCACTTGCAATTTTTCGCTGCATTTTGTTTTATAAAATCAGAATGGCGCCAAACACACCTATCCGCGGCAGCGGCTGTGTGTTAGCCTGCCACGTGCATGGAGCGTGGACATTT